GCAAAGACAAAACAAATTCAGTCTTACATTGAGAAAGAAAGAAAAACACAGAGAGAAAGAGCGTGAATTTGAGCTATTGACAGCAAATTTACATCTGAGATCCGTTCGTTGATAAAAAATGAAGTGAATATATGAAACCAACTTTGTTAAGATTGAATTAATTATCACGTTTACTTTTATTGGGTCGATTATTTTATAATTGATGTAATAATTTATCAGAAATTCTATCACTTGCAAAATTTCTATGAAAGTAATTTTCATTCAATAAAAGTTATTTCAAACTAGTGATTTCAAAGTTTATTCTGAGAAGGCTGTGTCAACGACTAAGATGAGCATTCGATTTCAACTTTAGTTTTGCGAACAGAATTGATTTGTTTACTTGTATCTGTTGACTTTTGTGGAATATGAGCCCAACGTTGAATGAACGAATTCAGCCTATTTTCTTTTGTTCAATTGATTATATTTGATGGAATTTTTTTTCCGTTGAATCCAGAACGAATCGACATTATTTTGACTTCCTTGAAAATAAACTTATCCGTCAAAGTTGAACAGAAGAGATTGACGTTTGCAAAAATTCGCCAAAATCTGGCGCCGAGTTTTCTACGTGAAAATACGCTCAATTACATACGCTTTGTATCGTTGAATCATGTTGATTTGAATTCAATGTTTCAACGATGTGTTGTTTTCATCACGTGGATCATTTGCAGATTTGCTTCAACTGACAAGTGCATGTGGTCTCCGTCAATCGAAGTGGCTGTCAGTCAACATATTCCATAGGTTGGAGCTTTTTATTGCTGCAAAAATTAGGGCCACGTGCATTATTACAACATATGATGTATGATGAATTCAGCTCATTTTCACAGCATCTTTTGAACAACCTAATCGGCAAACAAACAGGGCAAATACAATCAATCGTGATACAATTTTCATGTTACCCCCTCGTTGAGTCAACCCAGACGGCTTCTATTCAATAATAATAACAATAATAACTTGCGTAGGACAAGTCGTTTTATTTTTATAAAACGTAATCTGACAAAAAAATCTATAAGAAAGGAACGTAAAAATAGTTTTATGCTATATTTCAAAATGCTTACAACATCTTTATTTGCACAAGCGAAGATAAATACGAAAAAAATGTCGCTCGAAGCATTTTAAGCTGAATCACTTCAAAATCGACATTATCTTCTACAGACCAATCCATTTGTTTTCCTTATAATGATTAAATAAACAAGAGTCCCTTAAAAAATAGCATCGTCGCAGACACGACGCATAATCCACTTGAATCATTTTTTATAAATAAATAGAAGTGAAAAGAAAATAATCGAAATCGTGTTTGAGGGTCGATTACAATTCCCATAAGACATGAAATACTGACTACAGTCACAGGTGACAACATTTTTGGCATTCTTGTGGTTATGATGATAAGCTTCACTTCTTTCAGATTATTTAATCCGAATTAATCTATACCGCCTGACCGTATATGTAAGTACCAGCAAAATTCTTTCCAACACTCACGAATAAGATTTCTTTCTCTAAAGAGTTATTCAACTCTTACTGAGCTGTAATGATTGCATCCATGTCAACACATTGAAAAAGGATTACAACAACTTGTTTGTACAAATCATAGTGATCCAAAGTGTTTTGACTACTAGGAAGTACAATATGGTTATTGGACTGAATCATGATGGTAATAGTTTGAATCATTATTGAAAATTGATTCGTTGACATTATTTTGCAGGGCAAGGTTACAACAATGCAGTTTTGTAGTTCGATATAATTAACGCTTTGAAATTTTTTCACTTCACTTTTTTGTAACGAAACATGCGAGACTGAAATATAATCAGCATGAATGCTGCCAGTATCCTTATTACAAGTATACCGTTAATTGAATCGAGTAATGTTGATAAAAGAATTCATAAGGTTTGATAAATCATATTTATATCTTTGATAAAAAAAACAAAACAAAATTAATTAAGATTGTACAAAGTAAAAACAAAACGTTTATATGATATTGAATATCTCATTTAATTATTGCCGTGAATATTGAATATTTATAGAGCTATATAGTAGATTGGAATAGCACACATACCTTAATTAAAACTATATGCGAGCTCTAATTGCAAAAATTCATTCTTAACTCTATTTATACTGCATTGCAGAAAAAAATGCAAAAATCGATATAATTTGAAATTTTTAATGATTATTTTTTTATTTTACTAGAAAACTATTCCGGAACTTTCGTGTAAAAATAAAAAAATTGATTTGGAAATATAGCAATACAACAGGTGTTTAATTTTTGAAAGAATATTTTTGAAAAATGTCTTTCCATATCGAATCGACACGATTTTTCAATGAATCTTGCGTTTTTGTCGGACGAAAAAAATCTTCGACGTCGCTTTTCGTCAAACTTCACCAAATTTTTTGTGTAAAACAAATTCTTTGAAAAGTTAGACGCCTTAAGTTTCAATCCAATTTGATATTTGAATATCTTTCCATTCTTCTGGAACTTCTTGCTTTTGTAATAACATACAATGACTTCCGTGCTTACCATAGTTAATTACGGATTTGTGTTTCACCGTATACAAGCCAAACCAAAGCAACCGGAAAATAATTACGAGATAATTTGCATATTAAGTGTGGTTTTTCACGAAGGATATTATAATTGGTAATAACCAACTGAATGAATTTATAATTAATGAATTCACATAATAATTAAGCACATTCATTTAAGATGTTTACCAATGCAATGCAAAGTTTTGAAATCACTTTATGCAATGCAACAAGTTCTAATGTGTTTGTGGCGAACATTTTTTCTCCTTCAAAAACCATATGAAATTGGTTGAAAATTAAAGTGTAAACCATTTCGAAACGTTTGCACTGGCATCTTTGTGATATTGAAAGGTATTGAATGCGAGTTAATAACCAATATGTTGAAACTGGTGGACTTTTTATTGGTTTTAAGATATCATCACATAAAATGTGCTGACGTAATTTGTTTTTGCAAAGTAATGCCATAATCCTTTTTCCGGCTTATGAAAGAAGAGCCTTTAATGGAAAATTGATTAAGTCCAGCTTCGCCACCGGAAATATCTTTCGTCCATTCTTATGTTTCGATCCATTTGGGATGAGTAAAATCTGTTTGCACCGTCTGGTAGACACTGAAAATTGTGTGTGTGTTCTCTTTTATCATCAAAATGAAATTTACGTTACGTCAACATCTCATTCATTATGGAAATTATTTATTAAGTGAGATCGAATGCTGAATGGTGATATGCAATTGTGATTGAACTCAAATAAAACCAACTCACGTTCACATCAAAGTCGAACTGGAGACGAATGTCCGGTGCAAAATAAATTCCTCTGAAACACGAACATTCATTGAACATGATTGTTGAAAAAGTTTTAAACCTCAAGAAAACAAAATGGCATGTTGTCGAAGTGCCCAAGAATTTTGAGTGATATTAAATTATAAATAAGCTTTCAGCAGGTGACAAACATGAAAAGGCTGACCGCATTTTTTTCGTTTTCTGTTTTCGAAACGGAATTCTTTGTATTTTCTTTAGTTTTTCCTTAAGTTAAGTGTGGTTTTGTCAGTTTACAAATTTCTTTGGATACAGTTCGTCGTACGGTGAATTTTTATTTGTTAAACATGACCTTTCGAATGAGTGGAAACCCAGTGTGCTATCCCAAATTAAATTCCCATTATGGATGAATTGTTTAACACGAACAACTAATAGTGTCTAGCGTCTGGTATTGATGGTTTTAAAATTAATTTTGGCATTAATCATGGATTCAATATGAAGCCATCGACGAATTGGCTTTTTGATTTTGCCATTATATTCGCAATACTTGCTGTGATTATATTAATGAGAGCGATTAAAGTGACATACATACTAATAAATAGAAATGGAACTCATTCGAACTCGAAATTGTTTTTTTTTTACACATCTCCCGCCAACTCATTCGGTTCAGTCAATCAGACGCAATACAAAATGTGCCATTGTATTCGATTTTATTGGAAAATTGCTTGCCGCAGATATAGAAATGCGTTGCCATTTTATTCGATATCTTACAGTGTGTGGTTTTTATGGATTTCAAAGGAAATAAAATAATCGTAGAAATTGTGATTCCACATAAGTGAGCATGGTTCTTAACCGATAGGTGGTCAAAATTAAATTGTCTCATTTTATTAATACTCTGTATCTCCGAGCTGGATCAAATCTCTCTACCCACACGCATTAGGAGCAACTAAATCGCATAATACCGAGATTTTTCGAAAACAAATAGCATAATCGTATTCACTTGGGTGAAAAATCCAAAATTGTTGAACAAGAGAGAAGGAAATGGTGCCAATTCAGGATTTCAAATTAAGTTGTACAATGAACCAAACGAAAGGAGATTTATGTTGGTCGCCAAATGGTTATTATTTTCATTTTGTATGCAAAACTGCATTGTTGCGTACTCGAGGCATCTCTTCGGGTTTCAACTGCAATGCACGAACCGAACAATATATATGGTGATTATAATATGCGTGCATTTCTTTGCTGCTGTTGTGTGCAAAGCTGATTTGCAATGAGTGACTCAACACTTATTAAATTATATGCCATTTATTTTGCTCCAGTGAAATTAATCGAGGTTATCGTCTGTTGGTATTCTTGCTAATGGCTGAGAATGTGTAGTCAATGTTCTCGATAAAAGGATGTGATTACAAATATTATACTCTAGTCGGTCAATCGATTGTACAACGCTCCGTCTCATTGTGCAAAAAAAAACTTCTCACTGCAAAAAAATATATACATCGAACGCAATATTGAAAAACTTTAGCCTTTGATCGAAAACTGTTGACTTCACTTTTTACACGCACATAAAAGAAAGAACAGTTTTGCTGCACAAAAGGACAACATATTGAGAATAAAAGAGGACGCGTTTAAATTGTTTATAAAATTCTCGCGGAAAATACAATGAGAAAAAAGTAGAAGCAAAAAAAGGATATTACTTACCCGAAAGGTTGAGATATTTCTCTTTTTATTTGTATTTGTGAAAGTGAAAAATGTCAAAATATTGACCGTTTGCAATACAGTTAAGTCGTTGAAAATCCCTGTGAGCTTCACTAAATGCACGAAAACCTTTTTTGCGAAGTAAAATTTTGTCGAATGAAAAATCAGTCAAAATGCACAACTTGTTAAAGATATGACTTCTGTTTCACTACAGCTACGAGCTTTGTCAGTGGATGCTGAATTTTCACAAAAATTAAATTGTTTCAGTGCTGCCAGCGCACGTGATAGACGTTTCAAACAACAATGAGCCGAAAACTCAAAGTGCCACCGAATTTATACGCGCTCAGTTGATGCGATTGAGACGGTCTATGCTCTCCACTTTTTTCTATTCCTGCACTTTCAATTCAAACCGATAACGAATTTTCCATCAACAAGCGCACGCGAATAAGCTGGGGAAATGGCAACAAGTTAATGTTGTTGCTGCAAAATGGGTGGAGCAACATGGTATTTTTCTCTCACTGCAATTTCCACTCTCTTGGTGTCGAAGCGGTTTCAATGTAAAAACAAGCTGGTTTCGCGCGAAAAATCCCATTTCCCATAAAAACCAATTGTTGATTTCACATTGCAATATCGTGTTCCACTTGACTGATAATACTAAATAACGTCATCACTCGCTCTCTTCTTTTCCTCTTTTTTTTTCGGATTCGATCCGCTTTTGTTGAAATACCCGATGACCATTGTACACAATAAATGCTGATAACAATGCTTTTGAATGGGCAAAAAAAAAAATGCTATTTCAGTCTTATTTACACACATTTCACGTTCAACAGATTTTCCTGATGATTGCCTTGCTATTGAATCACCCACCACCAATCAGGTTGTTTCAATTCATGACATCAAAAAAAAGCGTAGGTGACTATGCTTATGTAAATGGTCGACGTTCAGTCGAAAAACCAGTAAATTTTCTGGCCACGGGCCAGTTTTTTCCATAGAATGATCGATTTTGTTGAGTTAGATACCAATTTATTTATGTTTACCGTGTGATTTCTTTGCAATTTGTTTATTTTGTCAAGAACATCTGCGAACTAATTCCGAAATAAACCAAAATGTATGGTAATTAATTGTTTTAGATAATCTCCAACAGAAATTAAACTAATTGGATGATTTGCAGTTAATAAATTGCGCAATGCGATAATACGATAGACATCAACAATTTTATATCAACGGAATCATTAGATGATTAACAATAGCTTTATTTAGACCCGAGCTTATACCTTATTAGATACAAACATGCACATTTTTTGGAATTTTCAATTGAAAATCGAGGACGAAAGCCCACGTCACCTTTTAAGCTCGCTTAACACACGGAGTCAAGTTACAAATTTTCTTTCTCCGCTGAAAATGATAAGATTGAAGCCAAATGAAACACTTTAAACAGTTTTTGAATTATTACAATTGCATTTATTTGTGTTTTACAAATAAAATATGAAGCATAAATGCGATAGCGAAATGAGAAGGAAGAAATGCGAACTTAAAGTCTATCTGGGGCGAAAGGGCAATTGGAATGCATTCGATTGTTGTAAAGTGGATTGCTCTCGTAAATACGCGAATTCTTACTATAAATTGCAATGACGAAAAAAACCAGCTATAAAGAAGCTGCTTATCGTAAAAAATCATAGTTCTATTTACATAAAAACTTATCGCTTGGCACTTATTTGTCTGACGATTACGTAGAAAATAATACGAACAAAAGTTTGCATATCGTTTTTTCCATTTATTATAATCTCAGAATATATTTGTCTTGTATATATTGGCAAATTATCGCGTATTCTTCTTGAATGTGGCGCGATTCGATAAAAAAAAAAATACTATTCAAGTCATTATAATATGATTGTGTGTATAACTCTAACGTCATTAAATATATCAATTTTAAATGTGGAGTTACGAGGGGTTACGCACTTGTTGCATCAAATGCATCATTGCAAATGGCCAATTTAAAACATTATTTTTACTCTTTTTTTATCTTCAAATCAAGTTTTGTTCTTAATTTCTTTAAGATTATGTCTGATTTAATTTGTAAAAACTTATGCTTGTTAGTGTAAAATAGATAATTTCTGTTTTTATTTGCGATGTGGACTGAAATGAACTAAATTTATACATTCATATAGAGACGGCTTGCGATTTTATTCAAATAATAATTATTATCGGGCTATTTTATGTACAGTCTTTTTTTTTGCTTAAAATAAATGTGCTAATCGATTTAGATATTAACTGGTCCAGCTGATGCGACAGATTTTACAAGTTCCATGTACTGAAATGGGACATTAAACGTTACACCTTTGTGTTGTACAACCAATTGTCCTCGTCGATGTGATGCACCAACAACAGTGACTTGTTCGCCCTTACGTAGCTGCTTTGTTGGCGGATTTAGAGCTGAAAATTCGGGGAAATTCATCTTCATGATGCGCGTTTGTGGATAACCCAATTTTGAGTTTCCAGTTACAGTATACGATCTCGATGGTGGAACAGGTGGCGGACGTTCCTGAACAAAAAGAAATTCAGTAAGAATAAGCGTAAATGTGAAAAATGTACAGACAATACATACCAAGTCAAGACCAAATAGATTGCAAGTTTGTTGAATAATATTTGCGTCGCACTTTTCATTTGGATCGGGCACACCAATTTTGAGTTCAGGCGGTGGTGTTCCAGCAATCGGTTGTGGTCGCGGTCGAATTACTCGTGTTGCTGCGGTTTGTGCTGTCAGTCGGTTTGCTGTTCGTAAAGTACAACGGTATTAATTTTTAGAATGAAAAGTACTATATACTCAATGTGAATGAATTTAAACTAAGCGATTGAAACCATAAAAAATTACCTGAATTATTTGCATTATTGGAATGAATGTGATTTGAAAGCGTATTTCTGGTGGTGCGTTTAACTGAACCAATACGTCTTCTGAGTGCATAACCGCGCCACATCGATTGAATAATGGTGGCACTTCTCATGCGAATGTCGGTTCGTAATTTCTCCAAATGTTGACGAATACCTTCGCTGAGAAAAACATGGCGTTTACCAGGTGCCCATGACAATGTTACAGTTCCTTGAATGTCTGGCGGTGTGTCCATTGCAATTTGTAAAATCAATTTGCAATCATCAAGAGCTTTATCATCGTTTCGACGAAGCATGCGGAATGGTGCAAGCATTCGATATCGTCCTGTAAAATGTTTGAATCGCATACGATGTGGAAAGCCGCTTGCCATCAAATTAACCGTTTCTAAAACTTGGAGTGAACGAATCTGTTTAACAATTGTCTGTCGTTCAAATGTGCCGGGCGCTTCGAAACCATTACTTCGAATACAGCGAACAAAATGTGGTCGAGCGTGCACAAGTGTTCGCAACAAATTATCCAAACGTGTATGAAAATCTTGTGTAAGTGTTGACACCGGTTCATCGCCATTTAGTAAATCGGTATGTGAAGTTGGTGCAATTCGAAAGCTTAAACCGCGCGGTACATTTTCAACTGCATACAATGCTTTCAATTCGGAGCCAAATAAATGCGTTGCAAATCCAAAATTACACGTATGCTTATAAAACACGGACACCAAATCATCGGAGACAACGTCACGATTTGTGTCAAGAAAATCGGTTGTATCGTATTCAACGCGACCGGCAAAATGGCGTATGGCGAATGTACGGGGATCTTGTAATTCCGTTTGTTTATTTTCCAAACGTGTTGAATTTCGATGTTGTACTTTAATTTTAGCGACATAACTTTCAGCCGTGCCTCGTACAGCACATTCAGCATCAAGCATACTTAGCAATCCCGTTCGTAATGATGAAATCAAATCAATGCATGGCACATTATCGACATAATCGACATCGGTATCAACCATAATCCCTTCGTCACGGCACGATTCAACTGAACTCTTGAAAATGTGCGTATTGTAAAAATGTTGCATCGTTTCGGCGCACAAATTAATGCACAAGTGTTCAAGCTGTGCCGGTTTTGGTTCTTCAAATCCAAACATATCTAAAATTCCGATAAATCCATCGGTGGCATGTCTTACGGCATTATTCAAAGCAGCCATCGATTTTGAGCCGGAATTACCGCCGATTGTTGAGGCGTGTTGACTCGCAATATCGCCTTGATTATGCACCGATTCATTTGAATCGGAGCTTAATGTACCAAGCGTTGATCCAAGCCGTTTTAGACTATTTGCACGACGAACGATTGTTGCAACGGTGCGACAATACAGTGCCTTTGCCAATGAGTCTCGTGTCATATTCGACATGTTCGCATCGCAAACGGATTTGATTATTTGGTTACGAGCGTTGTGTGTACGGGTTGTTAAACCACGAAATAAAGCGGCGGCAGGAACTCCCAACAGGCAACTGATTGAATTTAATTCAGCCTCACCTTTAATATCGACTTCCAAACCTTGACCATCGACAAATTGAACGTTGCCCAATAGTAAGACGGCGGCCAGCACACGAACCACATCTAAAAATGGAATGCCCAAAATGCCTAAACACGTTTTCCACGCTTGAAAACGAGCCGCATCCTCTTTTTCATCTTGTCGAATGTCGCCGCCTTGCAAATACCGTAAATTGGCCGGTGAATATCCTTCGAGATTCAATTTGATGCGTTCTTCACGACTCAAGCCGGCCAACATTTGATAGAAAATGTGATAGTTCTTTTCATTCGGCAACGGACGAATGACACGCGTCTGATCCAAGAAATAACAATGAATTTTCGTTCGATATAAAGCACCATCTGTTACTTGAACTTCAATGAATTGACCCTACATTTGCGAAAGGAAAAGAAATTAACAAATGTTATCCAAATGGTGTTATTCAAAGGTGAGAAGTGGTAATTAATTGACTTACAATTCGACTGGATTCGGAATTGGTCGATGTTTTTGCTGATCCAAGTGATCGAAGTACGGTGAATGCAGCGGCTAAATGTTTGAATGCATCTGTTTCTGGTCCACCACCCGCCACTGCAAATAATTGACGCAACAACAGCATCGAGCAATGCGTTTTACCAGCTCCGCTTGTACCTGACAGAATAATCGCTTGCGGATAACCAGTTTCAGCCTGTTGACGAACCGCTTCGAGAACGATTTTTCGCAATTGAGCCGCCAATTCTAATGTTCGTGTTGATGACAATGTCAATGGATTTCCAACATCAATATACGGGTTGATCGATAGCAAAATTGGTCCAACATTTGTCTACAATTTAAATAAAGTAAAGAAATAACAAATAAGAATAAGAAGAAGAAACACAACAACGCAACGCACACGAAGAGAAAATCAATAAACAAATGATCAATTAAATATTATTTTTCATGCAAACGGAATGCAAAATGGTATTTTACAGTTGCCACACTCAATGAATAGGTATATCATCTTATTATTAGTAATTTTGCTTGCGGCCATTTTATAAGTGCTATGCGTGCATTTGTGCTGTCGTCGTTTTTATTGAACAGTCAAAGAGAATTATGCATTAAAATAATATCATTGAATTAAACAAATTTACTTGTTATCAGATAACAGCATTACGATGAGAACGTTTGAGTGCAGACATTGCACGAAAAAAAACACGATATAATTTAAAAGGAACGGCCGCAACCATAGAAAATTTATCGAAAACACACACAGGGTGTATCGAAAGGTTTTTTTTCGCCCATCGATTCTGTATATTTTCTAAGAAAATCTCGTACGATTCAAAGTATGCATATTTAAGGAATGGGTGTCGGAAGGTGTCTGTTTGTCGATGTTTTGTGCTTGAAATAGTCTCGGTCGTTGTCTTGGTGTTTTTCCTTTAGATTCGATGCATTTCTCGGAATTTTGCACATTTCTATTAATTCTAGTAATTTTATGTGACTCACGCGATTGAATGTCGATCCAGTTCTCATTTTGTTTGCTGCTCAAATGAATGGCAAAAAAAGGAATAAATTATAGAAATGTAAATGTAAATTATCGGTCTGATGGAATTGAATCTCCGGTATATTGGAATCATTTAGAGTGCAATTTGGTTGAAAATTGACCTTAGATTGTTTGTAGTGCTAAGCTCACTCGTATGAATAAAATTGAAAATGAGGTGATGCAGAATGGAACGAAAGAGTAAAAAAGGCGCATTTCGGTTGAAGCAAATTACACTTTTTATAGCCAATATGCACAGGCACACACTCACACGCATAAAACGAAATAAAAACAAAAATGGCATCAAAGGTATGCATTGAAGAAAATTAAATTCAGTGTGTTGTTTGTGTGTCTGATTATGTGTGTGTTTCTCTCTTCTTTTGCGTTTTGTTTTGCGTTCGATTTTACACTGTTCAATATTAATTACATGCTCTCTGTGCAATGCCACGTTGTGCTATTTATTTGGTTATTTTTATGCCAGTTTCAGTCATTTAGTATTTATTTTTATTCCATTACGATTGCATCATTTCGCTTGTTCGGATTTTACATTCTCAGATTGGCTCTCTCTAATATTCTGACACACGATGGTGGAACAGCAACAGCAACAACAACAACAACAACACAAAAAAAATCTTCATATCACCGCAGGCACCGAGATATGCATCGACTATTGCAATGATGGTGTCACTAAGATAAATGAACCGAGTGAATGGCCTGCCTGCCTGCTTGTGCTTTTGTCTCATTCTATGCGCGTGTTTTCCATGCCAGCGCTGGCTTCAATTGAGTACACATATTGACTTCGATTGGCAATAATTTGTTTATTAGTTTGTCTTAAGGCAAAAAGACATATCGTCAATTACATGGTGCACTTTCATATAGAGACGAAAATTTTCTTCCCGTCACCAGATCTACCATGTACAGTGCACATTGTACACATATAAATGTGTCGTGTGTGCTATTTTATCGTTTTACACTCAAATCGTGTTCGTAATTCACAAATATAATTGTTTCATTCGCTGGTTGTCATCATTCTACCGCCATGCTTTTTTACACACTTTCTACTGTCGCAACTCTTTGCTGTGGCATCGTGAGCGCGCGTAAAGCATCATTTTTTTCGAAATGCCTGTGAAATGCAAAACAAAAAACAAAATGCAACACGACAACAAACCAAAAATGCTGAGAATAATTTGTGCAGCTGAATATGCCGTAAAATGCATCATAATGGCAACTCAAATGTATTGCTCAACGAACGACGATAAGCGTATAAAAGTCATGGAATATGTAAGTAAAGAGGAAAACAACACATACATTCAACGAAATGCCGTTGAATTTCGTTTTTATGCGACAAAGAATTGATCAGATGCCATTTTTTAGAAGAAATTAACTTTTTACTTTAGAACTCAATGCCGCTCGCACTCCAAAATGCGAACGCATTTTCTCTTTGGATTTTTAAGTTTCTTACGATGATTCTTACCACTTTTCTTTCTCTCTTTCCTTTCTGTCTCTCCTCGACATCGTCGTCGTCGTTGTTGTTTTTTTTTGCTCCGTTTGTGCATATTTGTCTCAATTTGTCTTGTCTTAAATAAGTTTTAGCGTGAACCTGTTCTTTTCAGCGAGCTTCGATATTCAAATTGGTTACGTTTCGCCTCATATTCGTTTTTTTATCATTTTATGAGATTTTTTAAATCAATTTAATTTGATTTGGATGAGAATAAAAACGACTTTTAACGATACCGCAATGTATTTCACGCACAAGTAATGCGAGACGTTTTATGGTGTTCGCTGACAGTATAAGACTTCACTTCGATATTAATTATGTATAAATACTTTGTGCGGTTTCATCTAAAGTCATTTTCATTCTGAGCCACTCATTCGATTCGATTCGTAAGTGTTTTTCCTGATATCTCATTGAATGGCTGTTCAAATGCAGATGCATTTCTCTTATCAGATTGGAATTATTTAAAATCTAGGCCCCATTACCTTTTTTCGATGAAAATTGAAAACGAAAAATGTGTAGTCTGTCGCTGTTTTGCTATGACCAATTCCAAAAACGACTGGTATGCCAGACGAAATCGTGCAAAAACCGAAAACACTCAAATTATTTAATTCAACACAAAATCAAATTCAGCAACCTATTAAAAAATAGTTGTCGTCTGAGCAATGTTTGCCACTCCGCGTTTACTCCGCGTAGTAAATGCTTGTCATTGTTTCACACAGTCTCCGTGAATGTTTCACATTTTCCATGCTTTGGCATAATTGATGGCGGGTAAAAATCTTGATTAATTTAATTTATGTTGAATGTTGTACCTAGTGCAATGTATGCGAGGCATTCGATGTGAGAACGCAATGGCTAAATATTTTTCCCTTTCGGTTCGCACTGCGAACTTCGCAGGATTTCAAATTACTTTGTGAATATGTATGTGTGTGTGTCAGGTTTGCGTGTCAAGACAGTAAAAATGTATTGTAAAATGTCACGTAATTTATAATTTCTCAGTTGAAAGACAAATGCTTCGAAGTTTTTGGTGTCTTGCACATAAATTGTGAAAAATGGCGAATTTTGATGTGTTTTAATAATAATTTTGTCCATTTATGGGAATCATGTTCGACCTCCTTGATGTGATCTCAATATGCAAAAGTCCAGAACCATGATTTTTCCACTCAATTTGAGATTTCAAGTTTTTCGAACGGGTATAATGCGGCAGTGAAGCCGCATCGCAGCAGTTTTCCATTGGACTCTTGCAATGATCAATGATCTCATACGCACTTTATATTTCCGGTTATTTGCAATGACTAATGGATGGCCGCAAGGAATGCACTTTTGTACATATAAATGATCTTCATAAGTCGTAACGGTATCCAAATCTTTTTTGTTCGCACAAAAAATTGCATCGGTAACAACATCGTTACCTTCTGATTATCCTGTTCTTTTGTAATTTGATGCTACTTGCGTGAATCTTCAATTACGTGCTTCAAATCGTATTTTTTTTATTTTAAAAAAATGGGCTTCAGTCCGATGAGAGTCTTTTTCTCTTCTCAATTGAACACGTAACGGACAAAGATGAATGGAGATTCTTGATTCAGAAAATGATGCTAACGCATTTTGCTATAAAAATGGTACCGTTTCAATTCAGATGGTTACCAATTTGATTGAAACATGAAAGACTCTACATAATCTTTCTCTTTCCGATGCGCTTGGTATCCAATTTTTTTTTAAATCAACATCATTTAATCGATTGGAAATGCATATGCTTGACCATATTTTTATCGCTCAAATTAAACATTACTTACGCTCCAAAAGATTAAAACCCTCACATGAATCAAATCACGAAAGTTGTGAATGGAATTACTTTTTTCGGAGGCAAATACATTTCAGACGTATGTATGATTTAAACTGACAGAAGCACATAACATGTAATGAACGGCTCTTCAATAATTATAGTTTAAACACATGTTTATGGAGTTCATTCGAATTTTTCAACATTCACCAGCACAAAATTATGCCAAAGTGAATGAAATTTCATTTTTTTGTAGCTGCATCCGAGTGTTTGAAGATTTAAAAAAGAGAGGCAGATGTTTCAAAGATAAATTGAGAAAAATGACCGAAAAGTAAGTAAAAACAATGATAATTTCATGTTTGTGCGAACGAACGGGAGAGGAACAAAAACAATTACTCACGAAATATTTGTGTTCATTGAAACGTGCTTGAAGCGTTCGCATGACTGCATCTTCAGTTAGAGGTCCTTGCAAGTGTATCAAATCTTCCATGTCTTTCGCCAAAATTTTGTGCGGGCTCGTGACCGTTTTGCTCGGCGAAATGATCCTTGCATGTGGTTTTGTGATAATTTCATTTGCAACAATTTCTGGTGGCACACGGCGTAGTGTTCCTCCTCCATTGGCAGCAACTTCTGTTGTATAAAAAAAATGCACGCAAATCAAATAACAATAATAAAAATATTAATTGAATGACAACAATAAATGCTTGCAATCAAGCTATAGACGACCAATTAACCTAGTGAAAATTATAGGTTTTTTATATGACACCATCAGAGAGTGTGAGAGAGAGAGAGAGAGAGAGAAATCTTAATGGATTTTTATGGTGTATAAATCAGAATATTAAATTACCGTGATTTTTTCCTATATGATGCGGCAGTGGATGAGGTATTGAGGTATTTCTGGGCGAAACTATTGGAATGGAATTGATTCCATGCGACAATGTATTACTGGAAGCCATTTGATATGCCTGGTTGTTTGTTTTTCCATTTCAAAATCAAGAAAGAAAATGCGAATCAAGAGAGAAAAACAAAACGAATGAATGAAATTCAATAGACAATTGACCATTTTATTTTCAATTGATACAATCAATGGTATGGTTTTCTTGGTGTTTTTGTCTTCGATCTATTCGGCTTACCTTTGGATTGGATTTATTGGCTATGGGTATTGTTGATGTGGCGATTTGCATGTTTGAATGATTCGTAACGAATGGTCCATTGGTTAAATTTGCCGTATTGGATGATGTGACTGCAGCGCCAGTGGTAGCGTCGCCAGTCAGTGTCACATCAACATTGGTATTGTCGACATGCAATCGATTCCGCAACGTAACCAATTCGCTGCTCAGGCTTTTTAAGCGTTGCTGCAAATGAACAGCTTCGTTCGTCGATGAAGCGTCTGCAAAGAAAAAGGAGAAGCGAAAAATGAATTTTTTTATTGAATTTTCTGGTTGTGATTCAAAATTCGAATCGGTTGATGATTCCGATAAATGGTTATTATGATAAAAATAAAAAGAAAGACTAAAGAGATACGAACAGGTTAATGTAATTTCTTTTTTGGAATCGTGGCATGTCGTTGGTTCTAGCAAAACTTAAAAGCAATTAGTATTTCATACAGAAAATATGGAACAACCTTCAGCGACAGCAAGGCCATATAAAACCGATTGACTTGGACTGGTTTCGCGTTAATTTATGCATTTTCTTTTTTATTTTGTTTCATCATCAAACCCAAAGTGTATGAATGTGAGAGAAAAAAAGTTCACCACAAACAAAATGATAAAAACCAGCACCAAAACCATAGCTATCTATTGAAGCTCAAGATACCATGCAGAAAAGCAGAACACATCGTGTGTGTGATATACATTTTATTCATTGGAATTCTTGGAATTAAAAAAATATGTCTTATCTAAATCTGTTATTTACGGCGCAATCGTGTAAGTAAACATAATAAAGCGATTCGATACATTAATACAGGCAAAGAAAAGAGCAGAAAAGAAAGAAAAAACAACAAACTTTGGAGAAAGAATCGGATTAACAGGTGCACAACTCTCAATGACTGAACTCTACTCGTCGACGTTGAATTACGGCCGTTGAAAGAAAACATCAACCAGATTAGATGTGTTAATGTCTGTTTGGTTGTCAACAACCATCGAATCCAGCATTATGAAGCATTATGATAATATGCTTCAGCGAATAACGGTTCTTCATACTTCTTTTGTATGTAGTTGTTGGTTGCTGTTGCTGTGATGTCGCGGTCACTCAATCGTCGCAGCATTTCTTTTCGAAAAAAAAACACACAAAGTGAAACAGAACTGGACACATTATTACATTGTCGTTGTCCAATGTCGAGCTGTCGAACAAATTTGATAAGTCACAAAGATGACAAGGCGATGTATTCTTTTTGTTGCCAGTCTTCAGCGCACCACTAAGCGAACACAGAATTGAATTCAAAGCAAAAAAAAAACGAACAACATATCGAATAAAGTTCGTTGATCACCATTATATTCCCATAGTCATATCATTGTTAGTTTATTAGTTTCTTCTTTATGATTTCACAGATTAAATTTCCTTTTCAGAAGCTTACAGAAGATGCAAACAAAATGGAACAAATCCATTGATCGTTATAAATAGAAATCGAAAATACAATTTAAATCGAATAAAAGAAAAACATATAAAAATCTACATGTGAATAGCAAGCCGATGTGATGAGAACTAAAATGAAACAAAAGCAATTTCAAAACTATGGATAAAAACGGTTGATTCAATTAAGTTACCAATTCAATATAGTCAATTTGAATGCGATTCAAGAGAAAACCACACATCGAGCAAAATGGAAATAAACAACGTATCAAACGCCATTTCTATTGAGTTCATAAGTCGAATATACGCGACGATTGTTGATCATTTCTATTTTACTTTGATTATGGCCAATTTTATGAGCGGTAGATCTTTTTCAGTCCATTTATAACAGCAACGTTCTATCCCACTGTGATAATCTCTGCGCATGTGTGTATTTTTGCCTTATTCTTGTCGCTTGTATCGGAGCTTCGCAACAATCGTGACGACATTCGCAAATGAAGCAAATATGAACCGTTCGTCGCTCTTTTTGTAATGATTCAAATTGCTCGCAAATTAAAATGTGAATTGGACAATTCAAAAGCGCATTTTGCGGCACAACAATTACGAAAATAGCTGTTTTTACTCTTGCTCAATCGAATTATAATTATAAGCACTCTCTGCATTCCATCGGAAATTTGCTATTCTATCTTCTATTTTTTGCGATGATTTTCATACCATCCTGTATACCAACCTCTATTGAATATCGAATAGATTTGCCGAGATTACTTGCACAAAATTACCATTATCCTAGGCTAAATTATTAATTTTACCGACTTTGCTGGACAAACGTCTCTTCTGCCATAAAAGGGAGAGAGAGAGAGATGCAAAGAATCGTCATGCAATAATAAATGAAAATGGTTATGCTTAGCAAAACAACAAATCAAGTACCAATAAAGAAATTAAACGTAATCGATTTGAATATATTTAGCGCTGGCGAGCCTTGAATAGCGAAAAGAGCTTTAGTTAGATTTTAGCCGCTGACCGCAAATACAGACCAACAGTAATTCAATGTTTTTATGAGATATTTGCAATGCCTTTTTAAAAAAAAAAATTGCGTGTGTCTTTTTTCTCTTTGCTTCGATGGGTTATTGAATTTAGAATTGGCTAAGAATTTTGATGTGAAGCGTAATGGCTTCGCTTCAGCTGGCATACAAGAGCACGGAAAATGATCGTCAGCTTAACATCCAAAACAAGGGAAAAAATGAGGTACGAATACAAAGCAAGAAGTCATAGAGTGAGCGGGTGAGCAAACCAACGGTTGGTGTTCAAGCAACGATGTGAAATAACAAGGAGCCCCATTCAACTAGATGGAACAATAAACAATCGCTTGATTTGTATGAACATAAAAACAATGCAAAAAAAAAAACCGAAAGAGAATAAAATTGCCGATGAAATAAATGCTGCGCGTCCAACATGAATCAGTTGGTGCAAAAACGTCTATACAATAAATTCTTTCGAGCTCAATTTTTATGGTGCCGACTTGACTTAACTCGCTTCGATTGTATTTTCTGTTCGCTTCAAAGCAAAGAAAAAACATTCATTTTTCCAATCGAACTAGTAAATTTGCGCTTGCCACGGTGTGGCTAGTCATGTTACATCGTCTATACTTCCCATTTATTGCCAGAGTACACTGCATCTGTAATGCAAATGCATTTCTTTTGCGATGCAAATTCAATTGAGAAATGCAGAGAGAGAGAGAGAGAGTAATTGCAAGAGTCACAAGATATTTTCGAAATCACCGTCGATCAGTTCATATTCCATTCAAGAAACTAAAACACACACACACACAATCGTCTCGGCAATATTTTCGGTTGAACCAATGTACACTTTATCAGGAAAAAATACAAGAAAATTCAAATATATAAATATATTCACGATTTTGAGTTTGATATAAGCGCAAGCATTATTTGCAGCAAACGATGGTAGAAACAAATTTTCTACTTCAAAATGCTCAGGCACAAAATCACATTGATAATAATCCACACACTCACTTACATACACAGCGAAAAACCACCGCGATCAATTCGGAAATCGAAGTCGTTGATTGCTTCTTTCGCGACTCACAACCTAGTGCTCATATTCACCAAATCAGCGTAAAATGCTGTAAAAATTAAACTACAGCGAGAGGGAAAAAAATCAAAACACAACGAAATAAATATGATCATTATCAACAGATTTCTCGTTTTTTTCCTTAGTGTTTGCGCGCTTTCGAGACGCAACACTTGAAACGCTCACTCGTCTGTGCATTTGTAACGCACTTTGTCGTGCCTTGTTTTGGTTCCTTCTCCTTGTTGTTGTTGATGATAGTTTTTTTTTTCGTGCCATTTTGTGTTTATGAGCGGCGAATAACCAAAAACCGCCGTCTCTTATTACCTGCATGCAGATAAACACACACACATTGCAGTCGTATGGTGCGCATTCGGTGTATATATTCGTCATTTTGTTTTGTTTATATGCTTGCCTGTATATGTGTGTGCTGTGCAAACCAAAACAAAATTCCAAACCGAATACCGACGAGCTCAGTGGCAGTATACCTTTTTCGCGACACCGCAAACCGAGAACCTAATAATTTTTGTTGAACCGAGCACTGTGAAACCGCATTTTCAAATGTTAGCTTTAAGCGTCTAAATTTTCTGTTGCCGATTTTTTGTTCGTTCATAAGCTGTGCGCGCTTTTTTATTTATGGTCAATTGAGTCGCCCAACTTTCAATTTGTTTTGTACAATTAATTTTTACACTGAATACTATAACTCATGATGATGGCCTTAAAATGGCTTGCGAATCTTTCTGTGTTGATCTATGCAAGTTTTTTTTTATTAATTTTCAGTGGTTTTTCTTACAAAAGAGAAAAAGCGACGAGCTCCATGTCGGATAGAACTGTTTGAAGTTGCACTCAATATCGAAGCAACAACAATAACATTGAGGCGTACGCGCTCCTATTCGATTTCAAAGAAGAAAAAAAATGATTTTGTTCAGTTTTATGAGCCTTTCATTTAAATTCAGGCTTTCAATTCACGTTCAATAAACGATTATCGTTGCAAATCATCGGGTCGATTCGAGGCAAAATACAACAATTATAATGCTTATTCAAATTGTGGCCGATTTGAATACACAATTTCGACTCGATTGCAATGATATAAGGTAAACGTATGTTTCGAGATGAAAAACGAAACATTGTTTAGACGAAGACAGAGACACGCAGGGATGGAGAGAGAGAGATAGAGAAAAAAATTGCGATGAAAATAAAGAGCAATTTTTATGCTTGAATAAAGACAAAGCTCCAGCTTACAATGAATCAAAAAAACCTGTTCTCTTCTGCGATAAACGATAATATAAAGACATAAAGTGTGGTCTCTATGCCCATAGACTTTTACTCGCAGCCTACCAAAACAGCAGTTTTCTATGCACGAATTTCATGGGCCGATGTATTGTCGAATCGCTCACAACACGAAAACGAGCAAATACGAGCGTTCGTACACTTCATTAGATAAACTGACTATTCGTTTTTAATTGAATGCGCTTGCTGTACATACAACGGCCGGGAGAGATGGGTAGAGAAAACCAAAAACACCCATTGGCCATTTTTACACATTAATTCGTAATGAAACTTAGCATAAACGTTTCAAATGATGTTTATTTGATCATTTTTGCATTCCCGGAGACCAGTGTGCACGCTCACATGCGCACATCGATCAAAAGAAAGAAAAGAATGTATTTAAGTACTTTCTAAAAGCTGCCACACTGAACCCGAAGCCAACTAACTAACCTTTGATCGAGAGCG